AGCTAGACCGATGTCTGAGAGAGCAAAGACAAGAAAAGGCAACAACTTCAGCTTCAAAAAACATCTCTTCAGACTATTCTCCTACTTCTTCAACCATGGTTCCTACACCTTCAACAGAATAACCTATGCAAGTAGGACTCGTACAAGGAAAGTTACCCCCCGCTGAACTACAAAGAAGAAAAAGAGAACACCTTTGTCTCTATTGTGGGCATCCTCATCACACAGTGAGAACCTGTCCTCAAAAATCCACTAGTAAGCAGATCAACCTGACTACTATAACTTCCGCTTTACTTACCGCTACTCCTTACAGTGGAATGAAAACAGCTACGCATGTCAAGCTCTGATTGACTCCGGGGCAAGTGGCTCTTTGTTGGACATTGACCTTGCACATTCACTTCTCATTCCTGTACACAATAAAAAGCACTCCACTATGAATACAACTTGTGGATGGATCCTTTTTGCAATCTGGCCCACTTATCAAACAAACTAAATAAATATTAGTGTCAATAGGGAAATATTCTGAAACGTTGACTTTTGATTTGGTTCCTTCTCCATTGTTCCCTGTTATTTTGGATATTCCTTGGCTATGGCAACATGATCCTACTATTTTCTGTTTTGCTGGCACTGTATCATTCTCTTCGCCCTATTGCTCAAAGTCTTGTTTAAATACTACCAAATGGGGTTTTATTCATTCTATATTGGAGATCAACATGAAAAAGGAGCAAGAGGTACTCCTCCCTGAAGTTTATAAGGAGTATCAAGATGTGTTTGACAAAAAGGGAGCAGAAACATTACCACCCCGTCGGATATAGGATAGCCCAATCGACTTGCTGCCAGGAGCTCCTATTCCTTTTGGAAGAATATACCCCTTATCAGAAAAGGAACTCCATATCCTAAAGGAATACATAGAAGAAAACCTAAAGAAAGGATTTATCTGTCCTTCTACTTTTCCTACAGGTGCTGGAATATTCTTTGTGGGGAAAAAAAGACATTGTGTGGATTACAGAGAACTAAACCATATCACTATAAAAAAAAAACAAATATCCACTATTCCATATTCCTGAACTTATGGAACGCCTCCAATCTGCTCATATATATTCTAAACTTGATCTAAGAGGCGCCTATAACCTGCTCAGAGACAGAGAGAGTGATGAATGGAAAACAGCATTTTGTACCTGGTACAGTCATTTTGAATATCTGGTTATGCCCTACAGACTCTGTAATGCCCTGCCTGTTCCAGCATTTTCTCAATTGGCACGACAGTGACCCCTTCTCATAGAGTGTAACCCAGAGAAGAACATATCCCGGACCTTAGAGTGGCCAGACTAACGTATAGAGTAGTCAAATGGATAGCCATCAAGGGAGTACAGAAGACATGTAAACGATAAGACCTAGCCAATGTACGGGAAACCAGAGAGTAGAGTAGTCAAAAGGGAAAGCCAAAAGTCAATAACCAGGGAATCAACACTAAAGGAGAGTATACGCACTAGAGGCACTAACAAGAACCACACTAGGGCGCCTTTCAAGTGACAGGGACGCACTTTTATAGTGTGGGGTATATTGCTTTAAAACCACGCCCCCAGAAGGTCCAGAGGCGTGGTCGTGTGTGACGTACGTCGGCATTTACTTGCCGGCTACGGCGCGCATGCGCCGTATTATAAAAATATTTGCGGTGTGAGCGGCCGGCGTCAGAAGGGCTGTGCCACTCACCGGAAGAGGATGCCGTGCAGCCCGGGTCCGAGGAGGAAAGGTAAGGCATCATTACACTCAATGATGTATTTCATGACCTTCTCGATCAATATGTAGTCATTTACTTAGAAGACATAATGGTCTTCTCTCCAGATCTCCAAACCCATCGTCTACATATGATGGAGGTAATGAAACGTTTAAGGAAATTTAATTTGAATGAGAAATGCATCTTCAAAACTGACTGTGTGGAATTTCTGTGTTTTACCATTAATTCAGGTAAAGTGGAAATTTATCCAAGAAAAGTAAATGCTATCCTGAAATGACAAACAACCCAGAATAAGAAACAAATACAACAATTTATAGGATTCGCCAGCTTTTATTGAAAATTCATACGTAACTTTCCAAAAGTAATTCAACCCCTAACTTACCAAGAAAGAAGTAAAATGGAGTTGGTCTCCCCTGGCTCAAAAGGGTTTTGATAAGACAGGATTCACAGAAGTGTATGTACTGAAGAGCACAGTATAACTGAGCAATGAGGTAGGGGTTAGCTGGGTTTATGTAGGGGAGAGGTATCCACATATCATTGGTTAAACAGTGATTAGCCCTTTAAGATGTTTCAGGTGTTCTGTCCCTTTAAGAGACCAGCTGGCAGGCACGCGCGCTCCTAGATTAAGTGCAGTTACACGTGGGTTTGGCTGGAGCTTCCTGTGGGTAATGGTGTGGAGAGCCGCAACGCCGCGTCCAGGAGTCAGAAGAATGTCTGTCCTTGCAGTCGGACCCGTCGCAGTCCTGGTCGTGCAGTGAGGAGAGACAGACGCTGCAGAAGTGGACGGAGATGCGGCGGGGGACCCCCAGGTAATCGTGACCATGACACATATACACATTCCCAGACATTAGTGATATTGCAGAAGGTCTTGACGGTAAGGTATGTCTTTTTGCTGATGATACTAAGATATGTAACAGGGTTGATGTTCCAGGAGGGATAAGCCAAATGACAAATGATTTAGGTAAACTAGAAAAATGGTCAGAATTGTGGCAACTGACATTTAATGTGGATAAGTGCAAGATAATGCATCTTGGACGTAAAAACCCAAGGGCAGAGTACAGAATATTTGATAGAGTTCTAACCTCAACATATGAGGAAAGGGATTTAGGGGTGATTATTTCTGATGACTTAAAGGTAGGCAGACAATGTAATAGAGCAGCAGGAAATGCTAGCAGAGTGCTTGGTTGTATAGGGAGAGGTATTAGCAGTAGAAAGAGGGAAGTGCTCATGCCATTATACAGAACACTGGTCAGGCCTCACTTGGAGTATTGTACACAGTACTGGAGACCGTATCTTCAGAAGGATATTGATACCTTAGAGAGGGTTCAGAGAAGGGCTACTAAACTGGTTCATGGATTGCGGGATAAAACTTACCAGGAAAGGTTAAAGGATCTTAACATGTATAGCTTGGAGGAAAGACGAGACAGGGGGGATATGATAGAAACATTTAAATATATAAAGGGAATCAACACAGTAAAGGAGGAGACTATATTTAAAAGAAGAAAAACTACCACAACAAGAGGACATAGTCTTAAATTAGAGGGACAAAGGTTTAAAAATAATATCAGGAAGTATTACTTTACTGAGAGGGTAGTGGATGCATGGAATAGCCTTCCAGCTGAAGTGGTAGAGGTTAACACAGTAAAGGAGTTTAAGCATGCGTGGGATAGGCATAAGGCTATCCTAACAATAAGATAAGGCTAGGGACTAATGAAAGTATTTAGAAAATTGGGCAGACTAGATGGGCCAAATGGTTCTTATCTGCCGTCACATTCTATGTTTCTATCTATGTTTCTATGACATACACCCACATGGATACACTGTCCCAGACACATAGTCAGAGCTACACACATGCATTATCAAACAATCAAACTCAGACACCCAATTACAGATACACACACAAAGATTCACTGACAGACATACACTGCTACACACATTTTCCCAAACATACACTGCCACATACTTACTCAGAAACACACACATATACACTCCTATAGATACACACACACACAAATACACTGCCACACATATTTCAAGCCACCCTCCTGTTTGCATCCACGTTTTCCTTATTTACCTAGTTTTCTTTTTTGTTGTTTTTATTTTTCTCTCTTGTATGTTACATTTCGACTGATGTGCTGTGAGCTGGACATTATTTTTACTTATGACTTGCACGTCCATCAATAAAAAGTTTTTAAAAGTACCAGGGAAAATATCTGGTCAGTGAAAGCTAGATGTAGGCACTCACAGAATAAAGAGAGTCCTTGCAAGAAGGACTTACCCGTTGCGATGATGTGAGCTGGAAGCTAATGGTTTCTGTTTTCCTTGTAGCTGATTTGCAAAAGTTGTGAAACAAAGTATAATATATATAAAAAAAAAAAAGACAGATATAGAGATAGCCAGATAATCATGCATTCACCTTATGTATCACTGGCTATCTCCTATCAGCTAAGCTCACATTGATCTTGGTGGCTGAGAACAGGGCAAGTCAAGGAGCACACTTTGTGAAAAAAGGTCAGGTTAAAGGGACAATCTAGGCACCAATACTACTTTAATGAATTCGATAGATTTTGGCCTCATTAATATACTGTATTTTTTTGCATGCTCAAATCTTTATAGTTTTTGCATAAAAGAAATAAATGTTTTGCAGAATTCTGCACCATAAGCCTGCCTCCTTAGCCACACCCCCTCATGCCAGAAAAATTATTTCTTATCAAATGTAAACACAGTCTCCCACTTTCATTACCTTTCATGCACTGACTCTCCATTCTCTCACTATCATGGAGCCCACTCTCCATTTTCTCACTTTCACTCAATATTCGTTCCAACACTCATATCCACTCAGTCCAGCACTCTCAGCAGCAATCACAAAGTCTCTTAAAACTCCCATGCTTGTTCTTACCCTCCCCTTCCCTCTCCACATTCCTCCTCACTTTCACTCTTTATTCTTGCCCTCACATTCCTCAACATTGCCATCATCACTACTTTCTTTGTGTTTCCCACTTGTGCATCCATTCTGACTTATTCACATGGGTATTGACCCTTTAATCACTTTCACTACCGTCTAACCACTGGCACACCTAAGATTGCCTTCTGTAGCTCCAAAGGTGCACTTGATGTCATATTTTTGGATTGCGAATCTGTAACCTTCATCTTGTAATGTAATTGAAAAGTCCAATATCAACATTCCACTGCCACTCCTCGTTCCCTCTGCTCTGCCCGTGACCACCTCCTGACCGCTGCTCGCCCCCGTACAACCAACTCGCACTTGCAGGACTTCTCGTGGGCGGCTCCCTTCCTATGGAATAGCCTGCCTACCACCATCAGGCTCTCCTCTAGTCTTCAATCCTTTAAGTGCCTTAAAACCCATCTCTTTAGGAAAGCTTATGGCTTCCCAGAGTAACCTCTACCATGCATACCTGTCTCTTGCTCTCTCCTACAGGGCAGCACTCTACTCTCTCCTCCAGCTCTGCTTCACTCCCACCTTATTTGATTGATATTTCCTGTCCTTATGTGTTTTATACCCCACCTCCTATAGACTGTAAGCTCGTTTGAGCAGGGTCCTCTTCAACCTATTGTTCCTGTAAGTCTTCTTGTACTTGCCCTATTTATAGTTACATCCCCCTTCTCATAATACTGTAAAGCGCTACGGAATCTGTTGGTGCTATATAAATGGCAATAATAATAATATCACAAGATTAATAACAATATCATGTGTTAAGTTCATAAGATTTTATGACTTCAGTGTCGTTCCTACCAGCATAAACTACCGCTGCCATGTTCTCCCTCGCCCCTTCCTTGGTAGAAATTGGGCAGCTATAATTAATGGGTGTTCAACATTTAGTAGATATGCCACAATCACCAAAATGGCAAGCTCGGGTCAAAATAAAGGTTGTCAAGCTCCCTATAGTTAGATGGGGGAGCTAAACGGCTGAAAGATCAGAATTAAGAAGAGACCTTTTCTTCATTTTGCTCTTTCAGCTATTTAGTAGATAACATTCTAATTTGCTTTCCTTACATGGAATTGTCATATTGAAGGATACTAAATTAGAGAGCCATCTACCAAACCTCTGAAATATCAAAATGAAGAAAAGCACTTTTCATAATTTGCTCTTCCAGCTGTTTAGTACATGTGAAAATGTGTAATTCAGAAAACAGGAAGAAGAGAAGGCTCCAGACCTGCAAGCACAGAAGATACTATAAAACAATCACATTAAGCAAATTGCTGACACATTTCAGAACTTGTCAGCTCTCAAAACATCTTATTAATTATGCAAGCAGTCAGGCTTGTAGTGGAACCCGTCAAGATATAGTCTTGTATTTTATCTAGAATCAGGACATCCGAACAAAAACAACCTAGGGATGGCAGGACAGGGGGGTTCCAAAACTTAAGTATCCCTCAAGGTCCAGGGCAGTTGTGAGGTTTAATAAAGCTACTTTGTGTTTGTGCTGAATTCATAAACGTATACACTCAATGTATGGCGATCATAAGGAATATGATGTCACAGTCCTTTAGTACATAGATGTCATACATTGATACCCCCATGATGCTTAGCCAGACTAAGTACATCACCGATTTCCCAGTTCCCTCTCAGAGGGAAGGCAGAGTTTGGATTGGCCTGAAGCTGCTTCTCACTGCTTTGCTTGCATGGTAATAAACAGGAGAATATCAGGTTCTTCTGAAACATATTTCTGCTCACCTAATTACTGTAGAAGCTGTGCTCATTAACTGCTCTCATCTGGCTCACTGCTCAGCTAAATATTCTGTAAATGAGCTGACAATTACGACAGCATTACAACCATCAGCTTGGCTCCCAGCTACATAGCAGCCTGGGATGCTTCCACTGGAGGTATTATCAGGTTAGGAGTTTCATAAACATACTGAAGTAGTTAATTGGAGAACTATTACATCCTGAAAGTAGGCACATCATCAGGAGGAGGAGGAGGTGTTTGTTAGTTTACGCATTTGTTTTATAAAGAGGTATAGCCTGCTCTAAGGATGGAAATTGTAAAGTAGCTCTGTCGTTTAAAGATATATGGTATAATTAAATGTACATATTAAAAAGTATCTGTGGTAACAAAATGGGGGAACTAGGGGCAACAGCATAGACTAAGCAATATGACATCATAGGCATAACTGAAACATGGTGGGACGAGACACATGACTGGGCAGTTAACTTAAATGGTAACACGTTATTTAGGAAGAATGGAAAAAAACAGGAAGGGTGGTGGGGGTATGTTTGTATGTGGACCATGAGTTAAAGGACCACTATAGGCACCCAGACCACTTCAGCTTAATGAAGTGGTCTGGGTGCCAGGTCCCTATAGGATTAACCCTTTCTGCTGTAAACATTGCAGTTTCAGTGAAACTGCTATGTTTACTTTAGGGTTAATCCAGCCTCTAGTGGCTGTCTCATTGACAGCCGCTAGAGGTGCTTCTGCGCATCTCACTGTGATTTTCACAGTGAGAAGATGCCAGCGTCCATAGGAAAGCACTGAGAATGTTTTCCTATGAGACTGGCTGAATGCGCGGGCGGCTCTTGCCGTGCATGCGCATTCAGCCGATGACAGGGAAAGGAGGAGGAGAGTCCCCAGCACCGAGGGAACATGGCGCTGGAGAACGGTAAGTGTTTAACCCCTTCCTCTCCATACAGCCCGGCGGGAGTGGGACCCTGAGGGTATGTTTTCCTGGCACTATTGTGGTCCTTTAAAGTCAAATATTAAGTCAGTAGAATGTGACGAGGAAAATGTGGAAGCTTTATGGGTACATATCTGCTTGGGGCATAAGAAGGGAAATCAATTATTGGTCGGAATATGCTATACACCACCTAATGTTAATATTAGGAAGAAGAACAGCTGTCTGAGCAAATTGGAAAGCTGTACATCTGGGAACACGATAATCATTTGAGATTTTAATTACCGGGACATAAATTGGGATAGAGAGACTAGCAGTTTAGTAAGGAAAATAAGGTTTTAGAACCAATTTTAAAGACACCTTCATGTTACAACTGGTACAAGCACCAACTAAAAGGATGCCTATCTGGATCTGGTTATAACAATGTTGAGCTTTTGACAAACTTTCACAAAGTAAACTCAAAAAAGCAAATGCACATAGGGAATACTAAAACATATAATTTAGAAAGGCCAATTTCAATAAGATTAGCAGCTTTACAAAATACTGGCCAGCATTAACTCTCTAGTGAAAAAACCACCCACAACAAACAAATATTAGAAATGTACACTTCTCAGTATTTACCATTGGATAATAAATATAAATATGCAAGAAACAAATTGAAAACAATGTGGATTAATGGGAAGGTAAACCAACAAATACAAAATTTGAAAAGGGCATGTAAATCAGACAAATCAGAGGCATCCTATTTAAGATATAATGAAGCCAATAATGTATGCAAAAAGGCAATTATATGGGCTAAACTAGAAAATGAGAATGTGATAGCCACAGAGAGCAAAGCCAAATCTCAAAAAAAATGTAAGTACATAAATTCTAAAAAACAAAGAAAAAAAATGAAAGTATAGGTACACTGAAAATAAATATAGGTGTGTTAGTTAATGAAGACCAAGAAAAGGCAGAGATTTTAAATAACTATTTCCCCCCAGTATTTATTAAGGAGACAAGAGATATGCAAATTATTGCTGAAAAAAAACATGCAGAAAAATTGTGATTAGATGCAGCAACTAAAAAAATTTTATGTAAAGAAAGCACCAGGGCCTGACTGTAGTCACCCACAAGTAGTTTAGGAGCTCAATGTGGTAATAAGTAAGTTTCTGTTTTTACTCTTTTAGGATTCTTTCTTTCAGGAATTGTATCGTAAAATTGGAGGAAGGCCGTTGTGGTTCCTGTGAAGGTAGTCACCGTCACTGGGGATGGAAGACAGATACTTTGTGTGGGTCCCCAGATTACATTTGTGTTTTGGTCACCCTGTGCCCATTATTGGTACAGGGTAGGTTGAATGTATTGCTTGTCTGTGCTTTTCCCCTTCCCCCTTTTTCCTGTCCTATTGTTTCCCCAGCAGGGCGTTGTCCCAGGGATGCTGCCAGACCAGTTTTAACTAGCTGCCCTGTCCCTCCTCAATCTCCCATTAGTCCTTGCTATTGTCTGACCCCACCCTTCCTTGTACTATAGTACTCTATGAACCCTATTGTATGTAAATTAGGCTTTTGGGGACCTAAAATATGTCCAATAAAGTGAGTTGCTGTTTCAACCTTCACCAAGTGTGGTCTGGTGTTTGGGCCAGGGTGGAAAAGGCCCTCAGTGATCCCAGTCAATTCTCTGTCTTAAGTTCTCCAGGGTTTGAAGTGCTCCAGGGTCCCTGATAGCTACGAAGAAGCAGACTCGGCAGAGGTATTCGGTCAGAGTACTGGAGCTCCGTCACTGTTCCTATATTCGAAAAGGGTTTTGCCTGGAAATTACAGACCTGTGAGCTTAACGTCTGTGGCTCGGAAAGTATTTAAAGGGTTATTAAGGGATAATATTCAGGAATACATTGAGAAGAACATTGTTAATAGCAAAAAATTGCATGTTTTATGAAACATGGGTTACGTCAAACTAACATAATTGCATTCTACAAAGAAGTAAGTTGAAGTATAGATCAGGGTGTTGCAGTGGATGCGATCTACTTGGATTTTGCCAAGGCGTTCAATACAATCACCCAATTGGTTAGTTTTCAAACTAAAAGAAATTGGTCTAGATGAAAACTATTTTTCTTTGGCAGAACACTGGCTTAATGAAACTTAAAGAGTACAGAAAGTTGTCATTAATGGTAAATTTTCAAGCAGGACAAACGTTGTGACCTTCAGGGTTCTGTTCTGGGACCGCTTCTATTTGACATATTTATAAAATGATCTTGAAATTGACATTGCAATGCAATGCAATGCATGTTTTAGTGTTTGCAGATGACCAGAACTCTGTGAAGTATACAATATGAGAAGTATATTACTTCGCTGCACTTCATAGTAAAGAATGCATAAACTACTTACACCAAAATGGTAATGAATTAGGGATCACAAACACATGAGAAGTGTTTGGGAATTGTTATAGACTACAAACTAGGCAGCAATGTACAATGTCAATCAGCAGTTGCTAAGGCCAGAAATGTATTGTTATATATAAAAAAGGGCATTAATTTGCAGGATGAAAATAGTATTTTCTCTCTTTATAGAACACACTTTGAATATGCTATGCAATTTTGGGTACCAGTTCTAAAGAAGAATATTGGGGCACTAGAAAAAGTGCAGTGGAAAGCTACAAAATTAATAAAAGAAATGGAACTGTTAAGACACCTCCAGTGTCTTTAGGCAAAACCGCCGTTTAGTAGACCTTCCCCGGCTGCAGTACAGTCTCCGTTCGCTTAATCTGTAATACACAAACCAAATGCAGGGGAAGCGGCAATCTCCCGAACGAGATCCGTGAACGGCTCCAAACTCCCGAACGGCAATACACGAACTGCTGGCAACCGTCGAACAGCAATATTCACCAAGCGGCTTCCGTTCCATCCAGCAGTCTCTAAACGTGAAGAAGAAATCCCCCCAATA